AGAGAAACCACCAACGGAGGTTATACTGATGATCTCCCTGAACAACAAACTTGGCCAATCTAACACAAGAGAAACAAACATTGCTACCAAACTGAGAGGAAATGTACATAATATCATCAACAATAACTTGAACAGAACTATCAAAGCCAGACCCAGCAAGTAGCTTTTCCACCATTTTCTTATTTCCAATAAAGCAAGCAAAGGATTTGCATCCTTGAAGCATAGTAAACTCTAGTCCCCATCTGATCCCTATTAGTTCTGCTTCCTCTTTTTTTGCAGCAACCTCAGAAGTTGAAGACCAAGATTTCAGCAAATGATTTCCTTGTTCTAGCACACGACCAAGTCCAAACTTCCCCTTAGCTGAAAAGTGAGCACTGACAGCTAACACTAGCTGACCTACTCCACCAGAAAAGTAATCAACTTGGTTCAGTTGGTCACAGGCACATCCTTAGCTAACACAAATAAGTATTCACTTCAATCAAGCTTGGCTCTCTCTACCAAAACCTTTTAGAAACCGAATCTTTATTAGACACCCAAAAATTTCTCATTTTCCACAACCACACCATTAGATAGGCATATAAGCTTAATCTATCATTCTAGCAGACTCCCTTTTCTCACATGTCTACAGATCATACCACCACGATTAAAGTTAGCCTTCTCCCCCTACTATCTAGTTCCACTGCACACCACTAATCTTCCAGCAAGTAATAGCTCAAGGTCTTCCTGAGATTCTCCACAAGCTTCATAGATAGAATCAACTGTAATGCCTTTCTGCAACAGATGCATTTTAGAACCTACATACCCAAACTAAATTGTTAAACAAGTGTTTAACAAATATAGATAATTTACACCTGTTACGGAAATTTTATACATGTTATGTTGTATTATTGTTTTTTAATCCCTTCTTTCCTAAATGCTATTCTTTTGAAATTTTTCAAATTAACATTTTTAGTTTAAAAATTTAATCAAATAATTTTTTTCTCATACAAAGTTAATTTATGGATTGATTGATCATCAATCTCTCTTGTAAATGAGGTTCAATTTGGTAATTTAACATCAAACCATCAATAAACAAATGAGGTTCAAAACCCTCGTCTCTCTCTCTCTCTCTCTCTCTCTCTCTCTCTCTCTCTCTCTCTCTTTTGCCTTTGCTTCCGCGAGAGTCGACCTCCTTGTGGCTTTGCTCATCACTTGGGGGTGGGCGAGCCTTCTTATCAGGCGTCCCCCGCAGTCCGCCGCTCATCGTGGTCGGGTGAGCTCCCCAGGACCCTCGTCTTCTGGTTCTGGGGCGGGTGGTCCGACGGTCGAGGTGGTGGGTTACCAGAGGTGGCGATTGGCTACCACTGACTGGTTTGGTGTTGGTGGGCTTCTCCGGCTTGGGCTTTCGGTGAGGAGCGAAGTGGCTCCTGTAGACGGCGAATCGGCTCATTTAGGTCTGAGGTTAGTTAGGCCTCTTCTGTAGTTTATAGATTTGGGTTGGGTCGTGTTTCTATCTTCCGGTCGTGGCCGTTCGCAAGTGTGCCTCGATTTTTGCTGGAGATAGCGGATGACTTTTTTCCATTTTAGTTTTTTCTGTCTTTAGGTTTTTTTGTTGGCGTGTGTTGTTTTAGTTGGTTGTATTTGTTGTTTGTGGTTTTTGTTGTTATTGAGTGTGTTATTTCTCCTTTTGTGGAGTGGGTATTCTCGTGTCATTCTTCTGTGGGGAGTCTGTGTTATTCTTCTGTGGGAGCTGGTGTATTGTCCTGTGGGGAGTTTTTTATTTTTCTTTTTTCGTTTTGTAGTGTGTGTTATGGTATCTAGGATGCCTTGGACAGTCCTTGTATTCCGACTAGTTAGTCTGTTGTAATTATGTGTNCTCAACAATTTTTTTTAACTCAACTTTAACTCAACTCTACTATCATCAATATTATCAATATAATATCATATCAACTTTAATTAACTATTCATCCACTCATATAATTCTAACTAACCATCAGTTCAAATTATCTCTCTTCTACTTTTACATCAAATCAACTTTAATTATTTTATTTTAAATATTATTTTGATATACTTACTAACAACTAACCATGGTTTTTTTCAAAATTAACCAAACCAAACTAAAAATTCCAAACAAATCAAAAAAGTTTTATATCCAAGCATCCCCTATCTAATATTGTTGGATTGGGCCGCAACCGACCCCTCACTACTTTTGTCAATCAAATATTCAAGAGATAATTACCTCCTAGACGAACCGATATTCTTTTAAGGACATAAAGACGATCTAAAGTTTTAAATGCCATAAATGTGTAAATTGGTTTTTCTTTTTCCTTCTATCTTTCTTTTCCATACAACAGAAAATTTCAAGACAAAATGTCAAATTATCTTCTCCCAAATTAACTCCCCAAATTAATTCCCTTGTATCTCTTTCTTTCCCGTCAATCTCTCGATTTGAGAGAATACTCCGATCAGGACCAGATTCACCATTTTCACTGCCTCCCCAACAGCTTATCATCTCTGGATCTGAGCGATAATGAAGATGAAGACGGCACTGTGATGGCCGCGGCGGCTAGCGAGTCGGAGATGGCAATCGAACGCACTCTCGTTCAGCGCCGTCGCACCTTTGACGGCAGAGAACGCCGTGCCCGGTATCTCGTTCAGCGCCGTCGCACCCGACTGAGAGGCTCAGTTGTCGGACGACCAGTGGACCGAGCGGCTCCGGAGGTTGAGGAGGCCATCCGCCACCACCTCTGCACCTGACGCTTCAAATTAATCAATGGGTTACTAAAATTTTATTCCCTTGTTATCTCATATGCCTACTGATAAAATGTCTGTACAATTGCACCGTTGTTCATTTCTCATTTGATTTAATTATCAATTGCAATTAAACAGATGTATTTTTTATTAATTAAGGAATATTCTTTGTTTCTCACTTGATTTATTTATCTCACCTTGTTTGATGTTGCTAAGGTCATAGTGTGAGATTTCGTACAATGTGGTTAAATATTTGGGATTTTGGAGTTTGTAATATTAAGGAATTTAGAGCTTTGTACAAATCAGTTTATATTATTATTCTTCTTCTTCTTTGGCTTGTGTGTTGATGATAATAATATTTGGAAATTTGATGATGAGATTGAGAACAGGATATTCATATGCTTGAAGAACAAATTTGATAGATTGTAATTGTAAACTATACATAAATTTAGAGTATGCATTCTTATATAATAAACTGAAAATAAACCATATATAAATTTACATGTTTGTGTGTATAAGAATATTAATTTGATGTTTATTGATTGTATATTTTTGTCTTATCTATGGTTTATATTCCCCTTTTTTTTTTGCACTTGATGTCTATCTTGAGTTGATTTTTTTAGTTATTGATTGTATTTTTTTGGTTTATCTATGATTTATATTAAGTTTTTTTTTGTCTATTTAATTTTTTACAAATTAGTAAAAATTAGATAATAAACATAAGATAAACTGAAAATTAATTTTTAATAACGTATAGAGATAATGCAATAAATTTAAGACAAACTGAAAGTAATCTAAAAGAATTCACAAAAGATCATGAGCGTGATTTTCAAATAAAAAAGGTTTTGGGAGACTTAAGAGAAATAAAAAAGGCTTTGTGTGTATAAGAGTATTAATTTTAACTATAATAAACTAAAAATATACTATATGTAAATTTTTCTTGTATAATAAACTAAAAATAAACTATATATAAATTTAAATTTACAGTTTCTTGTAATTTTATAACTATAATAAACTAAAAAATATATTATATATAAATTTTCCTAGTATAATAAACTGAAAATAAACTATATATAAATTTAAATTTACAGTTTATATTCTTGTAATGGTTCATAAACCTATAATAAACTAAAAATAAATTAGATACAATTTATAGTAGAAAATATGATTTATAAGATAAACTAATAATAAATTAAAAATAAATTACACATAAATTTATAGTAAAAAATCTGGTTTATAAACCCAACATTAGATATAGATCTATATAAACAAAGGCAAACAAAATTTTGCATCTTGTAATTTACATTAGTGAAATATTAACACAATTTTACTGAATTTTCTACTTCTATATTCTAATTAAACATTTTTTCTTAATAAAATCAACAAATGAATTTTTCCAGGCATCACAAGAGATCCGGCCGTTTCTATTTGGTAAGTTTTTTTTTTTTTTTAAATTTGTCAAGAATATCAGTTATATTGATTTGCGGAAGAATTAAATCACTTTCGTTAGTTGCCTTTTTTAATTTAAGTATCGTATTAGGGGCATAAAAACACAATCATGTCACTTGATTTGGTATTGAAATCTTTCTCCCATAAAATTTTTATTTCAGAGTCCAAGATTCGTAGTAGTGTACTTTAGCCAATATTCAACATTGCTGGCCTAGTACAAGTAGCCCATCTTTCCTTCGGCCCAAATTATTATTTCTATTTTCTTGTACTAAATTATTTGTAAACCCAAATTCTCACTTCAATTGAAAAGCATCGTCGTCCTTCAGGTACTAATCTCTCTCCTCTTTTTACTGGTTAATTTGGTTCGTTGATTTATGTATGTTTATGCGCCGTATTGATTTGGGATCGGTTAATTCTCTGTGCTTGAGCGAGATTTTGGCGAAGACGACGTGAAAGAGTGGATATTTTTTACGATTTATTATTATAAACAAATAACAATCTTTGTTTTGGGTTGAGCTGCCGGAAGGATTAATCAAATCGGAGTAAAAAACACAGATTTGGTATGTTTAGGATTCTGGGTGTTGGTAATATTTGTCTGTTTTATGAAATGCAATCTGGGTTTACTTTTGTTGTTACTTTCTGATGTTTGTTAGGGCTTGGCCTTGAGATTATGGATAATAGCTGGTATAGTGGTAAACAGGAGATGCACTACAAGAAGCAACTGAAAGGCAATGAGGTATGGGCTCTAAACTTTGCTTTTTCTTCATATTGCCCATCTGTTTTGTACTTCTCATGTATGGGATCTGGTTCACTAGTTAATTATATGTAGTTTTGTGACGTTTGAAGCTTTAATGTTGGTAATTAGTTCTTCAAGTATCCATTTGTTCGCAACATTATCATGAACATTCATATGTTTCAAGTTTTTAGGCAAACATCTTGTTTATATGATTTTATTTTCTTCCAAAAATGCTGTGATAAATGGTAATTCTATAGTTTCCTCTCCTTTCCTTGTAGTTCTGTAATATTTGAACTACTTGGTTAATTGGTCCAGAGGTAATTATGGGGGGATGAACTTAATGAAGTAACTATACCGGATTCTTTACTAGCAACTTTTTTTTGTTTTTTTTTTTGTTTTTTGTTTTTTTTTTTTTTTTTNTTTTTTGAGAATGCAAAGGAGTCAATTTATTTATTTATTTATTCTTTTGGTTAGTACTACTGTTTGGTTGTGCTGCACACATGTGATATTAGTTCAATTATTAAATGTCTTGAGTGAATCAGCACAAATGCCTAAACTGCAGCTTCTGTTTTAAATTAGTAAAATGGCAATTTCAAAATTTGTATTGCGAAAATTTGTGAGGGAGTTTCATGTGTTGTTAGTTGAAAGTAGAAGGCTGTGCAATCTCTGATACTTATCATGGCTACAGGTTTTGTGCTCATCCTTCCCTTGGAAATATAAATATTTTTGCTTTCTTTGATTATATGATCTGCAAACATTTCTTATTGGTCCCAAATATACATATTTTGCTTTCTTTGATTATATGATCTTCGAACCTTTTTTATTGGTCCTATATGGGAACCATGTTCCTTCTTACTTGCTTATTTTCTGTATCTTCGTTGTTTTCTTTTTGTCTTTGTTTCTTTCCTATTTTTTCCATCTTTTTTAGCAGAATTCTGCAATTCACTAGACACTATGTTCCTTTGATAATTATTGGCAAACTGGGAAATCCGCACATTTTCCATGAATATTTCTTACGAACGATGTTTTACTTGTTGCATGTTGTAAATCTAGTGTTGTCACCATTGAACACACGCAAATTTGGGCAATTTTCTACTATAATTTCATTTGTCCAAAAGAAACATGAGGAAGACGGAGATATAAAAATATCTTCAGCTCGACCGTTGAGAAACAAACCGACCAATAGAAAACCTACGCGTGTCCAATAACCAAAATGCGAAAAAAAAAGTGTCAGCGCTTTTATAAGTACAACACGACAACAACTAACAGCAACTAAGAAAGGCAAAATAAAGAAACGCAAGAGGAAAAATGAAAAGCGCGTCCAATCCAAGAACATCACACATGGCAACACACTCCCTCAAATGGAAATGTGGGAGAGAGCACACATTCCCAACTTGACCGTAACACATTGAAAATCCGGTCCTTCCAGAGCTTTAGAGAAAGATGGTATGTGCTGTGGAGCAATAAACCCTTCTTTGTACTTGTTGCGCACAACATGGCAATCTATATTAAGGTGTTTAGTGTGTTCGTGGAAAACTGGGTTAGCTGTAATGTGGAGAGCTTCTTTGTTATCAGACCAAAGAGGAATAGGTGTGATTAAGGTAGACAAGTTTCCCAACAAGTCTCGTATAGGCACCAGGATCATCTAAAAGAGGAGAATCTTGTGAAGAGATATTTAATCCCTGAGGAAATGGAGTAACAACTTCTTTAGAACTGGCAAGCCCCAAGTCAGAAATAATATCCATGATGTATTTTCTTTGGCTCAAATGTACTCCTTTCTCAGAACTGTAGAGCTCAAGTCCCAAAAGATACTTGGCATCCCAAGGTCCTTGATGGTTAATAACTTGTGGAAATATTGCTTCAGATGCTGAATATCTGATAAGTCACTTCTCTGATAAGTACATCATTGACATAGATCAATAGAGCCAAGATTTTGCTTTGAAAAAATAAGCCATGATCATGGGTGGTGGACTGCACTTCTTTCAGAAAATTGTATGTCCCATTGCCTTGAGGCTTGTTTCAAGCCATATAAACTTCTTTTGAGCAAACAGACTTTCCCTTTCTCAACTTTTGTGTATCCCTTAGGAGGCAACTTGTAGACTTCCTCATCCAAAAAACCATGTAAAAATGCATTACTTATAACAATATGATGAAGTTCCCATGAGTGATGAGTGGTTAGTGCAATGAGAAGTCTAACTTAGACTAGTTTGGCCACGGGAGAAAAATTGTCCATGAAATTTGTTCCTTCTCGTTGCAAATAACCTTTTGCCACTAGCTGTGCCTTGTATTTATCCATGCTCCCATCTGGATTTCTCTTGAGCTTGAAAACCTATTTAGAGCCAATTGCTTTCTTATCCCTGGGCAAAATAACCAATTCCCATGTTCCATTAGTTTCAAGTGCAGTCAATTCCTTTTCCATTGCCTCTATCCACCTCTCATCTTTGATAGCGTGTTCATAAAACAATGCCTCTATCCACCTCTCATCTTTGCAAGGGACTGTGTATCCTTTTCTTTTTCCTGTTCAGCATTCAATATATCCCTATCATCAAACTCGACCTATGTTTTCTCTCCATCACTCCATTTTGTTGTGGAGTGTATGGACATGATCTCTGAAGAATAATCCCGTTCCCAATAAATTCACTTCCATTATCCGATCTTAGTTTCTTCACTTCTACCCCAAACTGTACTTTAACCATTTTAATGAAGAACTTCACATGCTGACTCACTTCTCATTTCTGATTTGTATTTCATCAAGAATATCCATGTAGCTCTAGTATAACATCCACTATGGTCAACCTACTTTGTTTTGACCTATGGCATACATCATAAACACTTCATAGTTCTTTGCTGCAGATTGTTTTCAGAAAATCTATATGTTTTAAACAAGAAACTACATTGTGTCTATGCCAAAGCTTCAACATCTTACTGCACCAGCTATTACATTAGAACAATCCTCTTCCATCTGCAATACGAACAAGCCTCCAACTCCCTTTCCTTTTGTAACAAGTTTATTTCCTTCAAGGACTGCAGCAAGCACTCTTCATGAGTAAATATAAGCCTCAAGCCTTTTTCAGCAACTAGTTGTCCCACAGACAGAAGGTTGGGCACCAATAACACATCTTTCAAAACGATTCCATGATTCCATCTTTGAGTTTAACTTTCCCGAAATACTTCATATCTAGTGCCATGAGGAAAATTCACCATAATAGGGATTTTCAGTTGAAATGTACTGCACATTAATTGTCTATCTGACCAAATATGTTTACTTGCTCCTATATCAACTATCTAACTGCCTCTGTTCAACTTGCTCAGTAAAGAGAGTGCATATGTGTCCTTATTACCTGAATAGTCCACAAAGTGAGAAAAGGGAATGAGGATCTCCTGATTGATACCCTGCAAGGTACTTATTAACAATTTCTTTCTGCACAATTGAACTAATGTCGGTAAAGGAATCAATAGTTTGAGACTTTGCATCACCCTCTCCTTTTGTCTATTCATCATTTTCCACCAAATTTATTGCTTGATTCTGTCTTTGTTCCTTTAAATCCTTGTACCAATCAGGATGTAATTTAAAAAACCTTGAACCTCATGACCATTGAAACCACAATGACTGCATTTCGATCTGGCTCTCTCCTCCTTGCTAAGTCTCACATTTCCTCTTCCTAACCTCCATTTGCATTGTTCTGTCCAAATCCTCCTGTACTAAAGTTTTCTCTACCAAAACCTGCACCTCAACTTCCTCCTCTTCCATAACCTCCTTTTACAAACATTGCTGAAGACTAAAGTGAACCCGAACCAGTATATACCACATTTTTTTTTTCTCCACCTTCAAGATCGTTGAGTATGCCTTGTTTATAGTTGGTAAATGATCCATTAGTAAAATGTGATTCTTAATCGGTTCAAAAACCTCATTCAATCCCATAAGGAACTGCATCAACTTAATCTCCATTTCATTTTATTTTCCTTCCCAGAGCCACACAATCACTCAGGCACTGAAACTAAGCACACATATTCATCCCAGAGGCACTTTAACTTTGTTTAATAGGTCGTGACAGAGAGATTACCTTGAGAAATATTCGCAGTCTCTCTCTGTAGGTGATATCTCAAAGGTCCGTTGCTTTCTTCATATCTCTCGGCAAGCTCATCCTACAATTGTTTGGAACTTTTGACATATATGAAAGCCTCAAAATTGTCTTTAGGGATAGAGTTAAAAAGCCAGGAAATCACCATAAATTCAACCTTCTCTTATACTGTTCATAATAATCTCACGAGTTTGGTACCTTAACAGTGCCATAGATAAATCCTAGCTTCGATTTAGCTCCCAATGCTAACCTTATAGCTCGGCTCCAGTGCAAGTAGTTTGCTCGAGACAATTGATTCGTAACTAAGACCATTCCTGGATGATCTGCGCCAAAAAGCGAAAGTGGATCCAAATCCCTTGAATAACTCGTTCTAGTTACGATGTTCCTTTCCTGATCTTCTCCATTGTGATTCTCATTTGAGCCATGTCGACTTGAATTGACCTGCTCTGGTACCATGTAAATCTAATGAAGTATCGCCATCAAATTTGGGTAATTTTCTTCTCTACTTTCATTTCTCTAAAAAAACTGATTACAGAGCATGAGCATGAGGAAGAAGAAGATATAACAATATCTTCAGCTCAACCGTTGAGAAACAAACCGACCAATCGAAAACCTACGCGTGCCCCTTAAGCATAACAACCAAAATGCAAGAAAAAAGTATCGGCGCTTCTATAAGTAAAACACGACAACAACTAAGAAAGGCAAAATAAAGAAACACGAGGAAAAAATGAAAACCATGAAAAGGAAACATGAGCAACATGCATGACGTCCAATCCTCCATAAGCAAGAACAGCACACATGGCAACACATGTAATACAAAGAGATCTGATTTTGTAAGGTGTAAAACTTGTATTTCGGAAACAGAAACTTATGCCTATGCATATTTTGTGTTATATCTTGGTCATGTAATTTATCACATATGTAACACCCTGCTTATCATAGTAAATTTTTCGCAACTTTTACTTCGAAAATACTTATAAATTTTTTGAAATATTTTTGCTCTTACTCGGGATGCTACTCAAACTTATCTTTTCTAAAATCCTTTTGTCTTTAAACTTTGTCTAACTTACTGGTTTAGACATAAAGAAAACAGATTTATTTAAACTCGCATGTAAACTAAACCATATTCATACTAATGAAATGATTAAAGTCTGAAATATGATATTTAATAACATGCAAGTTCAAGTCTTGATATGCGTAGCGGAAATACTTAAAAACGTGAATAATTATACAAACATAGTAGTTCATAAATTAAATGCCCACAAGTGCACGACCATCACCACCACATCCGAGCTCACACCTCCGGCTCGACCTTGTTACCTGAAAAACACAATGAGGGTGAGTACTGGTCTTTTTGTACTCCAAAATAACCCATACTAAAGCAAACAACAATAATAATACAATATCATAATCATCGGTATATATCTGGACTGGAAATCTGTTCCAGTAACTGAAACTGAATCTGTAATCTGGCCGATATCTGATCGGATACGTGTGCACACTATGATGGATATTTCTAAGGCAACTAATAGCCTCCATCAGAACTTAGGATGTACTTGTTAAGGCAACTAGGAGCCTTCATCCCAAGCGTATAAACTGTATACATACCTCAGACATGATATCATATTATAGTCAATGTAATACCCAGGTTGGGTCCCCACCTTTCTTCTTTTGAAAACTCGTAAGTGCTGAATGATATATCTGAATCTTCAAGCTACATAAAAATATAAATCAATATACTAAGTACTATGCTCATATACTCAATAAGATGTTTGAATACTTGATTCTTTCACTTATCCGGATTTTAATGAACACTCTAAAAATTCACTAAAATCTAAATTTAAACTATTAAGTTTAAACTCTTCTTGACTTTTACTTAAAATTGAATACTTTCACATATAAATCATAACTCCAAATCTTGAATATTGTTTTACTCATATGAAACTTAGAATGACTCGTAAGTGAAAATAAGCTAAATTTCACATAATAGATAACCGAGTATATCAAAACAATTTCAACTTTTACCAACATCATATATCTATATGATTTATAAGGATTTTTAATCTATCAAACTTGTTTTAAACATGCTTGGTCTCAAACTTGATGCTCATTCAATACAAGTTTTTATCATAACAATAAATTATGATATTGATATACTAGACTTGAAACAATTTTATAAAATCACATACTCAACATATTGAGCTTAAACTAGGTCAAATTGCTCATCACTCATATAAGAAGTTTTCCTAAAAATTCCACTTTAAAAACTCAACCATGTACTGAATACTCTTGCATATAAAATCATCTTGACATGTATGCCATATAAATATTTTAACTCGTTCATTTCTCAATATAAAATCATGAAATTTGGCAGTCTATGTTCTTAACCCATATATAAGCATGTCGTAAAAATTTCATAATTTTATCATGCATATATATCAAGTTAATAGAATTTTAAAGTCACAGCTGAAATAAAGAACATAAAATTCAACTTGCATGCTTAACTTCAGAAATCTATAACTCAAGCTATACTATGCCAAATGACATGATTCTTTTTCTTATGTACTCCTTATTTACATAAGAATTACTCATTTAAATCATACTTTACTGGTTTATTCTTATCATTATAAGAATCTCATTAAAACCGAGTACATCTATCATACAAATAATCTTAAGACAACTTTAACTTCTTGTATTTATTACTTTGATTATAAACTCACTTCTAAGTCATTAGTATATACTAATAACCATTTAATCTCATATACAAATTATGAAATTAGGATGAGGATATTACCTTCTTCTTGCTAGAAAATTGATTCTTCCTCCCTTCTCAATTTTTTCACTTAACAATTTTTTTTTTCTATAACTTATTTTCTCTAATGAACTATATAACTTTTGTAATTCTTCTTTGATGAAAATCTCTGAAATCAAGGCCTCTATTTATAGGCAAAATGTTTGAGACAAGAACATTGAGTGAAGAAATTAACAAATTAAATAATACTAACTTGTAAAAATAAATATAGATAATAAATAGTATTCTTAACTTGTAAACTTCTCCAACCTATAGTCAATGCTTAGAAAGGTCCCTCTCCTGATCCTAATGTGATCTCAATGATTAAATTCGAGACTTAATGAAAATTCTCCAATTTACGGAACCGAATTCTGATTTAAAACGAACGTGTTCCGTAAAATCGAAAATTCTAAAATTTTTTTATTTTCCCTCTTTTGCTTTTTGTATTTTTAATGCTGAATATTTTAACTCTTAATAATGAATTCCAAGTTAAAAAAATCCAAGAAAATAAAATTTTCGGAAACGAAATCGGACTTAATTACCGACTACAACCGAACACAGAAAAACTCGAAACTTGCGAATATAATTTCGAATATACTCTTAATAATATAAATAAACCTTCTTGTCTAAATAATTTCTACTTACTCCTTATAACTTATCAAATCATATACATCACATAAAATACTTAGGCACTAACATTTACTCGACTAACTCAATTTATCGAAAAACGATTTCCGATTTTACTTTAATGTCGAGCCAAGTGAATCGGTTCTAGTTATTAACTGAACGGTTCATTTTATTATCTTGTTTACTTAAACACTTAGAAAAATTCTAAGTATTTAATACTAAGGCTCGACTATAACTTAGGAATTTCTCGGCACTGATAACTTGAATCAAGCTTAATTTACTTATAAGGCCAACCGTTGCTAAATTATACTTCCAAATTAATGGATTGATCTTGACCTTAAAATGAATAATAAAATTCTAAGAGATTTATTAAGGCTTGGAAATATAAAAGATCATTATTAATAAAAGTAAAATAATTCTCACTTAGAATTTAATTACTTTTATTAATTACTGAATGAGATATTACAACATAACCATGGAGTAAGATCAATATTGTTTCAGTGACATATTTTCTTGTTCTCTGATTTAGGCATATGAGGCTTCTGTTCTTGAGGACCTTGCCGAAGATTTTCGTTTACCAATTGATCACAGGGTGACAGAGAACGTTGATTTGGATTATGTCGAGCAGGCATCTCTAGACACGCAGCTGACCTCGTCAAATGTTGGGTTTAGGCTACTTCAGAAAATGGGATGGAAAGGAAAGGGACTCGGAAAGGAGGAACAAGGTCTGTACTTGTGGTGAACTTGCTGCTTTTTTCTTACAGAAGTTTTTTCTTTTACACTTTTCATGCAGCACATTTATTTTCTCTTATATGGACGGTTCAGGATTCATTTGTTTGAATTTTCCTGTCTAACGTGGGAACTTGGTATTCAGCTCAATATTCTCCAACTTTCGGTTTTAATTAATGAGGGATAATTACAAAAAGTACCTTTGAGGTGTGACCCTATACTAAAAATATCCTATGATACAGTCAAAATTACTAAGAAATGCACCTGATATTTGATTGTTTTTTTTTAATTAATTGTTGGAATTAAGGGGATAATTGTAATATTTTTATANCTTTAAGGGTTATTTCGTACTTAACTCAATACTGACAATATCAGAATTTTGTGAAGTTTCAATAGAACATCTTATTGGTTGCGTGATATGGAACTAAATCATGGGCAAGTTTCCGATACCTTATGCCAGGCTGACAAAATATTTGCCATTAGCCCTGTTCTAAAATTTTACTTCAAAATGTATAATTGTGTGTTACATTGTAGCTCTATCCGGTTGATCTTGCCTGAAATGTGCTCTCATCTGTTCCTTTCTTCCCATGCCTTGATTTGTTTGCTTAATCATATCATTGTGTTGTTTTACTTTAGGTATTATCGAGCCGATAAAATCAGGTATAAGGGATGCAAGATTAGGCCTTGGCAAACAAGAGGAAGATGATTATTTTACAGCAGAAGAAAATATTCAACGTAGAAAGCTAGACATAGAAGTTGAGGAGACCGAGGAACTTGCCAAAAAGAGAGAGGTACGCGTTTTGATAACGGTATAAAGGGGAAAAAAAAAAGAAAAAGAAAAACATTATTCCTGCTCTAAGTAATCTGACACTTGATGCTGACCTTTTTTCTGAAACAAATAGCAGAAAAGGCAGGCACATAAACATATATGTGTGTATGTATATGAATAACGAGAAGGTCAACTTTGGGAACTTGTTGAGAGTTTTGGTGCAGTTTTTATTATCTGGTGGCTTTGTACTGCCCGCTTCGTGCGCGTTATTAAAATCCAGGTTATAGCAGAACGCGAGCAGAGGATCCAGAGTGATGTGAAAGAAATACGTAAGGTCTTCTTTTGCGAGCTGTGCAACAAGCAATATAAGCTGGCCATGGAGTTTGAGGCCCACCTCAGCTCCTATGATCATAACCACAGAAAGGTAATTTTCTCTTCTTTTATTATGCTTAATATTTTTTTCCCTGAATTCCTGTTATGTTTATGGGTTGCTTTATGATGGTGAAATTTCAGAGATTCAAACAAATGAGAGATACGCATGGGAGCAGCAGTCGTGATGATAGGCAGAAAAGGGAGCAACAACGTCAAGAAAAGGAGATGGCAAAGTTTAAGCAGATGTGTGTTCTTGTTTGTATAATTGTTACATGCTCTGTGTTTTAAAGGCCTTAATTAAGATTTTCATATTTGATGTAATTAACAGGGCCGACGTGCATAAGCAGCAGCAAATACAGACTCGGGATGAAAGTGGGCCCACTGCCTCTCCTTCCGCAACAAGTGGCGCTACTGCAGTTGCCGACCAGGATCAAAGAAAAGTTTTAAAATTTGGATTTTCCTCTAAAGGCAGTACCCTTAAGGTATTTTTATTTCCTTTTTTTTTTTCATTTTCTTATATTTTACTTCAGGTATCAGTCTATTCTAATCCGTGCTTGCTGCTCTGATTTTCTATTTTCCTGGATGCTTGAATTTTGTGTTTCATAATTTCTTGACGTTTTTCGTTTTCATGAAGCAGAGCTCTACTAATACAGCCTCAAAGAAGCCGAAAGCTACTATTGCCTCAGTTTTTAACAATGAGAGTGATGAAGAATAGAGAGGTCAATAATGTATGATTACGTTTTCATCTTGTATTTTGGACTTGAAACATTGTTGGCCAGACTTGAAATGTTTTACGGCTGTGGTGGATTTGGTTTCTGATTGAGCTGTTCTATTGCATATGCTTATTATATGGTGAGGAAGCAGAAATGAAGCAAGGATATTTACTTGGTGGTGGTCCATGTTCTTTTGGAGGTTGGTAAGTAGAGATCATCAATAGTTACACCTCAGTTTGTAATGGGCTCTTC